AATACGTAGAATGTTTCTTTATTAACAGAAGTACTTAAAGCCTTAATTAAACGTTTTATTTTCTGTTACTAAAAATAACAATAAGTTTTCAGAGGCCCGGGGTAAAATTCCTAGATCCTCCTTCTCGACGGCCCTGGGTTTGATTTGGTTTCGTTTTCCTCGAATACGGCAACGCGACACGGGGGCGATTTGTCGAGGGAGAATGTCTTTCGGGAAGTCTTTTATGGAAAAATTGACCCCTATTTAACTGTTAGTAATGTGAAGAAAATCTGGAAAATTCCATATGGCCAGCCCGTTTGCGAAGCGAGAACCCGCGACTAACTACCAGTGTTCGATGATTTTATTCACTCGTCCACTGGCGAGGTCCTGAGTTTGGAGGCGTATACTATCCTTCAACAGATTTTTCCACACGTTGTAACTACCACTCCAGATTCTCCATACTCGTATCTGCCGTCCCATCTGGTCCCACAAATACTCGATGAGTGACAAATCTGAAAACTGGATAGGCCAAAAAAAAATGTTGGAACGTGATGGGTCATTCTATTTGTGCGTGGCCGATTTTTATTTTGCTAAAAAATGGCTATTTGCAATCCTGCTACGAAAATGAACAGGCGTTGTATTTCCTGAACGTATCTCTGTGCCGTCCATGTCCCACACACCGCTATTTGGGTTGACCGACTGTCATAAGAGATGGCTTTCCATACAAGAACGCCAGGAATGGAGACAATAGAGAGGTTGAGGCGCACGTTTTAAACGTGTAAACGTGTACGTGTGACGTTCGGCGCCGCTTTCCCGTAAGCCTAAAAGTTTGACAATGGTGTTTGGATAGTCGGTGGAATCACGCTCGACATTCCAAACACCATCGTCAAACTTTTAGGCCCTGTACACACTAGGCGTTTTTCAACGCGCGTTTAAGGCCCTGTACACACTAGGCGTTTTTCAACGCGCGTTAAACGCTCGTCGAACGCCGAGCTAACGCGCGTTAGCTCGGCGTTCGACGAGCGTTTAACGCGCGTTGAAAAACGCCTAGTGTGTACAGGGCCTTAAACGCGCGTTGAAAAACGCCTAGTGTGTACAGGGTCTTAGGCTTACGGGAAAGCGGCGCCGAACGTCACACGTACACGTTTACACGTTTAAAACGTGCGCCTCAACCTCTCTAATGTGTCGAAGGGTAGTAAAGACGGGATTGGAGGGTTTACCGGTGGTCCTATACGTATAGCCCAATGGCCGAGGAGATTAAAACGCCAGCCACCCTGGGGTCCCGAGATCGAATTTGGACGAGAAAATACTCACCAATTGTTTTTTTGGGCTATCTGTTACCGGTATGCCAAGGCCCATTCCCGATCTAGGCTGCTCCCATTTTGAGCATGGCCGAATCCACGATGGACCTGAAAAACGCCCTCTTGAGCTGGATTTAAGTTCGTCTGTAACGTCTAGCGCACATCAAAACGGCATTAATTGACGTCATATACACGCTATGTGCGAGTTGTCTGGAAGAGCGGCTCTAATACAGTTGGATAAGCAAGATAATGGCATGGCTATACAAATGAAACAGGTTCATTGGTTTTGCCTATCCACCTGTATTACTTAAAGCCGCTTTACCAGACGACACGTGTAGTAGTCAGGACGCCTCCCAGTGGGCATTCTAGCAGCAGCGGTGTCATTCCGTAGTATAAATAATAAATTCATATTACAAATAAAAATAATAATACACTAAATTTTTCATGGCGTACCCTATTAAAACGCAGCCAAAAAACGCAAAAAACAGCATCAAATAATAATATACTGAATTTATTGTTAATTTAAATAATAGCTAGGGGCGTCCCTAGTGGCCGTTTTTGGCATACCGCGACAGAACCCAGTTTTTCAGCTTTATATAGTAGATAATCATTTAAAGGACGGGCGGATGTTGACCTGCCGCTTTAGGGGCTCCGGGATCAAATCCGGACGGGTCAAAAGTCCCAAGAATTTTTCGGGGTGATCCGGGTATAACGGGCCTACTAGTCCTTGTCATCCGGCCGCCCCATTATGGGCCTGGATGATCCACAATGGGCTCGCTGAAAGAGGCCCTCTTAGTGCCTAAAGGACGGGAAAAGTTAAAAAAAAATATATAACGAGTAAAATCGATCTTTCCAATCTATTTGTTATTTTCATTCTATAAATAACAGAGGTTGTAAATGAGAAAGTGCTGTAGAGTACCGAAAAATATAACGCGTTCAACTGAAGCCTTTTATAATGGGAAAAGTAGTGAAGATTTTTAGCATATAATTGCGTAAAACGTACAACTGAGAAACGTATAAACGGGATTCTACTGTAATAAATAGGACAATTATCTTTGATATATGGCTTGTTTGTGTGTCAGTTAACGTTTACGAAGAATTTTCAGAAAATTTCAGTGCGTTAAAGGAAAGAAACGGTGAAAATGTTTGAGTTAAACTATGACACAATAGTTTGGCTAGTAAATCTTCAAAAGAGAAATACTGGAATGAAAAATGCATTGTTCACATCAAAATCTGTTGGTTTAATATTCGTAGTATAAACTTATAATAGATGAACTTGTCTGGAATACAAAATGTTTAGTTGTTAATTTTCCTGCAGATGGAATGATGTGTTAATATATTCATACCATTTTCTAATGCTATTCATATGATCTTTTCTTGGATTAAATTGAGTTCTGTCATCTGATAACCGAAGCTTTTTGATAATTTTTCAGAAAAGATTAAATGATGCCAAAAAATTTCTTTATTAAATTTAAAACAAGATCACAAATAATGAGAGAAAAATGGAGATGTGGATGGTTTGAAATATTGATTTAAAAAGTATAATCAAATTATTACCAGCCATCTAAAAAGTGAATTTATTGATAGAAACAAGCGTTGTAGTGCTCTGGATTGTACTTTGTAATAATGAAGCACATTCTGGAAATAACAGATTTTCTCCTAATGAAGAAATGAAAGTAATGCCTACAAGAACCAAAGATTGTCCCAGTACTGGAAATTACAATTTGCATATTATCTACAATGGATTTTTGAAAGATTTGGAAGTATTTGTATGTATAGAACAATAGTATTGTGTCTATTGAAATAATGGTCTTCCCTCACTACTTTTTGATAGCTATAATCTAAGAGCCTGAAATGCATTATTATACCTTTATTAAAAAAATATTAACACCAAATCACTTGCAATGTACTTCAATTGGTACAAAGATGATAGTTGTAATTTTCACTGCACATCTTTTCTTTGAGTTTTGTTTGTTGTTTTAGAAAGAAGAGTCTATAACCCACATACTCATGAAGAACCCAAGTTTTTGTTAGCAATTATATAAGTATGCAAAAGAAAGATTGTAAAACCATCAACAATTACTGAAGAATTTCACATTTTTCTTGAAGACAATCTTTTATTAACAAAAGACATACAAGTTGGACCTTTCTGTGAAGAATCAAAGTTGTTAGACAACTTCAGCTGGAACTCTCAAAATATATGAAATGATTTCATTACATATGGAAAGATATCATTGACAAAATTTTTATGAAACCAGAGTGCTACATAAAATACTTTTTGTAGATAGTTCTGATCCAGGTTTTTACATTGGGCCAGTCTCTCATCATCTGACTGTCTTATTGTAGGCCTGGCCAAACTCGCATGAGACATTTTCCACATCCTTTACAAAGTTGACTTTTGAACACCAGCAACAGTGGTTAAAGTTCAAAATCTGCTTGTCCAGGAGTCAAATCTTCAATCAGTATTCTCCAACTCTTTGATCTCCTGTGTATACATTTGACTTGAATTATTCAACAGTTTAAAGTATGAGTTAACAAAATGAAGAAGAAATTAACATAATCGGAAACAATTATGCTTAGCTAGAGATTAATTCTGTAAATAAAAGTCGTTAATTAGAAATTTATTATTAGTTTTACGAATATCTGTTAAACAGAACTTAAATAGTAAAATTGTTTAACTTAATTTTGTGTTTTATTTTTATTTATGTAGAAATGCATGTCAAAAATAAATAGCAATATTCAACATTTCAATTTTATATATTTTTGTTTACGATTTAATTACACTGTTATCTGCATCACTACAGTTTAGTTTGTTTATCTTTAAGAATAGCCACAGTGATCTTCCACATTATTTCTCTTTACCATAATAATATTTTGATTTTGACACGAATCTAAAGCAAAAATTTTAAAGAAATAAAATTAATAATAATTATATTTGCTGAGGAAAAATATTAGAAATGTTACAAAATGAACAGTAGTTTGAATAAACATTCGAAAAGAAAAGACAATTATAAAATACAAATCTTGATATAAACCAATTATAAGAACAGAAGTTTTTATATTATTCCAACAGCAAATATTAACAATTTATGCATTTAAATTATATTTTATGAATATACAAAAACAATTATATATAAATTCAACATAACAATATTTATGAAGTTAGCCAGATGTTAATATATAGTAAAAGAAACCTATTTTGGAGTTTATAAAATAATTTTTTTATAACAAAACACTGCTTTAGTTCAAATTATTTTATATAATAATTACTTATTATATAGGGTGTCTCATAAATCTGGACTCACAGAAGAATGCGGTGAAAATTTGCAGCATTCGATATCTTAAAGAAGATACTGTGCAAGTGTATTAGCAAATTTCATCTTTGCCAGTGTTTGTTACATAGTGGCAGACACTCTGAGCAGATTCCGATGGTTTTTTCGAGTGGATCCAGACTTACGGCACACCCCGTATAAAATGTATTGTGCTTTATGTGTAAAAAATTTCTAAACAAGAAAAAACTTTGTACTTTCCGAATTACTCTTCAAAATTGACTCATAAAACTCAATTGTCAACATGTTTGCATGTTAAACAAATTTTCTTCAGTAATGCTTGATAATTATATAATAAATCTTTATTAGTATTAATTATAGTAAGCATGGAGTTAAATTTCAATTTTTACTTAAAAAGAAATATAAAATCATAATTTAACATATTTACAATTAGAAAATTTTAAATTTTTAAAATATAAGAATTGATATTCATAGCTCACGCATTATTATTACTTAACATTACATTTAATTTTTCAATACATTTTTTTTGTTTACAACTGCTGTACATTGCATATACGTACGTATATACGCAATTTTAGCACACATTTCTTACTTTAAATGATTCCGAAAATTAACAATAATTAAAAAGTATGGATTCTTAAATTGATCAACATCTTTACAACAAAAAGATGTATATTTGGTTTCGTGAAATACAAGTTCCATTTTTAATTTATACATGAAATGAGGTTTTAAAAACATACAATATGACTAGTAAATGATATTAATACAATGTATGGTATAGAAACACACATCTGCACATCAATATTATTAACAATTATATAATATTAGGTAATTTATAGACATTACAACAATGAGATTGCTACACTACTTCAGCAAAACTTAATTTTGTGCATTAAAAAAATGTACATTTTTTTCAAATGCTTTCCTTTGGAAAATTTGAGTATAAAAATGCATAGTACTTGTATAAAGGAAGACTTCACATCATCTGTGATAAAAAATATATATTTCTTGTAAAGAAAAATATTATTTTAAGTATAACAAATGAAATATTTGATATTGTAAATAGAAAAACTATTCGTATGGCTTTACGATTTGATGAGACATTTTAAAAAAGTACAAAATAGATAATAGCTTGTACATTTTTTCACTTTGAACTAAACTTCAGTAGTATCCTCTGAGGTACTGTGTGTTGCCAATAAATAATTTGCGGCTTGTTGAACGTCCCAATTGCAGCGGATGAGAATTTGCTTGCTGTTTTCCACAGTTATTAAATACGAACTAAGAATGCACTGCAGACGGAGATATTTGATTGCTTTTTGTACATCCCAATTGGTCTCGTTTAAGGCAACGACACATTCTTCCGATGTTACCTGCTACTTTAAAAAATTTGGCATTAAATAAGATGGAAGAGATGTACAGTACATTATATACACATATTAAGGCTAACCAATAAAAAAATTTATTATTTGGCATTAAAATATAAGTAAAAGAGTTTGGAAATATTAAAAATAAATTAAAAATATGTCTTTAATAACAACATAATCAAACTATAGCATGTGAAACAGAATGTTTTAAAACCAATCATACTTCTCCTGATTGAGTCATGCCAATCATTTTATAATTAACTACATTCTCAAGAAAATTTTGAAGTGAAATCATGCAACTTCTAGTACAGACGAGAAGTTCTTACATAGTTAATCAGGGTCTCTGGCATCTAAACTTTTCATATCTGGTCTTGATTTTCATCTAAATCTGTTTTCAAGATTAACAAAGTACAGACAGAAAGACAAATGATAGTAGGACTGTATTTTTGGGCTGCAATTTGAAAATTGCAGCCCAAAAATACAGTCCTACTGTCATTATTTCTTATGTAAAAATTACTATTTTACATAAGGAGCATTAATGACCACTGTTGATATTAGTGAACTTTTTTGAAAATTTACATTAATAAGTATTTTGTTAAAGTTCTTTCTGAATTTCCTCAATTTAACTACTGTAATAGAAACCACTGGTATTTTAATTTTTCTATTGTGTTAATCTCTGGGATTGAACTGAATCCAGAACCTTTAATCAAATATCCTATGAGAGATAACCTCCTTCAAGAGAAACCAAATCAAATTCTTAATGTAATAACTTTGGTACATTAGATTTTACATTAGTATTAAATATTTATTTGATATTTTGATTTATTTTAAGTTTTGTATTTTGGTTCCATTGTGGAACCAAAATACAAAACTTAAAATAAATCAAAATATCAAATAAACTTGGCTTTTGTGCAGCTGTTTTTTTACTCTATCTACAAGCTGAGACAGCCACTTGTAGGTGTATTAATGTCCTTTTAATTCAAGCTTATAAAAGTGTTCATGTCATCCATTTCACCATTCTACCTCACCCTACTCCATAATAACAAGCGTAACAAGCCAACAGTTATGTTATCTAATAAATCTCATAATAACAGGACAATCTACACAGAAATTTTAGATATCATTCATGTTTAAGATGAGTCTACATCCTTAAAAAATAAGCAAAGTTGCACATGTGAATGACACTGTTGAAATCTTAACAGTGTCATTCAAAGGAACTATACCTCTACGTGTGATCTTTTGAAAGATATAGCCTCCAAAAACAGCCTACTTCCAGGTACTATAGGGAATCATGCTGTGCACTCCACTAAGCTTATCATGTTTTTAACAGACAGCTTGGCATGATGCTCAGACATTCTAATGATATTTATTGGCAAAAAATAAAGAAAACTCAGATATGTGACCCTTTAGCTTTGTTGTTAAAAAAGAGTTTACCAAATAAAAATAAATTAGAATTGAGAACTGTTATTGAAATTTATTGAAACTTTTATGCCACATAACAATATGAAATATATGTTGTCTAAAACTGCTTTTGTGTGTTCAGCACTTTTCCTATTTTGAGCAAAAATTATCTGGTGTTTTGAAACACTTGCAATCAACTGTCTAGAATAGTGTTTCACAAAGTTTTGACATCCATTTACTCCTTATGAAAATTTAAGAAATACTGAGTACTTTCTTGTCAAAAAATTTGCAATCTATCCAAATACAGTAGAGCCTCGATTAGCCAACCCCGATTAACCGACACCTCGGTTAACTGACCGTCCTAGTCAGCAAATTTCAAATGTCCACTAGTGATATGGCGCTACAATATTTGGCTATGTCTTGGCTACTTTAATATTATTTTTACGTGTTTTAGCTGGCAACACTCATTCGACCATGAAAGGGAGCCAGTATTTAAACGAGGCTTAATTTTCTAATTTTTAACGATACAATAGCAACGATTATTATTTAAAAAAATTTTTGTTAGGCTTAACATTGATGAAAATTCAACGTAAAGTAGGTTAATAGCGATATACTAATATACTAATTACATGGGATATAATAATATACTACACTAATAATGTATTTTTTCATACTTTTCGGTTATCCGACTTTTCAATTATCCGACCAACCCCAGTCCCCAATTGAGTCGGATAATCAAGGCTCTACTGTATAGGACTTATCACAACTTGAACAAGAGAATTTACAAAAATATATAATTTATTGGGAAATGTATAAATTTAAAATAATTTGTTACTATGATATTTTTTTCTTAATGATAATTCTATGCATTGGTGATACATAGCCAAAAATTGTCAAAAAAACCCCCTGTAGACCTTTTATTTACTCCTGGAGTAGGGTTTGGAAACACTGGTCTAGAATTTGCTGAATTCAATATACAGAAAGTTGGTTGTACAGTCGACCCCCCCTATAAGATCATTGATTTTTCCGTTTTATCTGAATTACATGTTGTACGAGTCACTTAGATTTTACAAATATGTGAGCCATTCACAGTCCGGCACACGTATTTGTAAAATCTAAGTGACTCGTACAACATGTAATTCAGATAAAACGGAAAAATCAATGATCTTATAGGGGGGTCGACTGTATTAACCAGTGAGAGAGAAGGGGATTTTCAAATCAAATCATTCTGTTTCATGTATTCTAGTTCGATTACATTGTTCTTGAATATAATATTTTGAATATATCAGAAATGCTCCTATTTTAGCACAAAAAAAATCTGACTTTTCCATTAGTCTGCTTTTGGCATTAAACTTATAACAACATTATAATAATAAGATTTAACTTAATAGAAATAACACTATAAAACTGAGTAAAATTGAGAAAAATCAACTAGAATTATTTTAAACTGACTGGAATTATAATTAACATTTATAAAATTATTCATTGATTTAAAATCATTAAAATTATGAAATTTAAAGAGAAAACTGCTGAACCAATATTCAAAAAACATTCAAATTATTAATAATGATTTAATAAAAAGAATCTAAGAAAACCTTAACACTTTTGATGCTGCTAGTGAAAAAGTTGAATCAAATATGCCAATTTGTTATTTTCTTCCATAAAATACGTCACCATAAAAAAAATTAAGAAAAAAAGTTTGTTTTTAAATTTCAAGCAAGATTCATGGAATTGTGTGTAATGATGTGAAATTGAGTCACTGACACCTAACAGAGAACAAAATAATGAAAAACCATAATTAAATGTGTTCTGGGAAAATAAGAAGCCAAGCAATAAAATATAATCACTAAAATGTTTCTTACACTTCCAGGTAGAAATATATGATGTCTGGCATGCACAATTTACCAAAAGTTTCTAGTGTCTGAATGATGCAAAATTACATTTTCGGCATATTGGGATAATGTCACACGATGCAAAATTGTGTCAGTATTTAAGGGAAATTTTTTTTACCTCCATGATCTTCTGTATTATTTTTGTTGAATTTATTTTACTTTTCAGTATTGTGTTCTAAAAAGTTACTTATTAACTTAATTTTGTATTTAAATAAATCTATTTATCAAGTATGACTTCGATATTGAGGATACACAGAATGAGCTTCAGGTGGACACTGGTGATATTACCCTTGAGGAAGTGGAGCTTGCAATTAAAAGCCTAAAGAATAATAAGGCATGAAATTACGGTTGAGATTTTGAAGCATGGAGGGAAACCCATGTTGGAAAAGGTAATGTTATTGTTTAACAGGTGCTGGCAGTGTGGGAAAATCCCAGAGGATTGGAGAAGGGCACTATAGTCAAATTCCTAAGAGGGAGATATCTCTGAATGTATCAACTGGAGAGGTATCACTCTCCTTTCTGTGCCTGGAAAGGCATTTTGTGTGATCCTCCTTCGATGCCTGCGGATTGCCCTCGATCAGTGCTTGGGGGAGGAGCAAGCTGGATTTCACTGCGGAAGACCATGCAGCGCGCAATCTTCTCCCTTCAAAATATAATTGAACAATGTGTTGAGTATCAACATCCACTAGCCATCAATTTTATTGATTTCAAGAAGGCTTTTGACAGTGCTCACCACAAGTCCCTCTGGTAGATCCTGCAATTATATGGTGTACCGACAAACCTTGTCACCATTTTCAAGGTCTTATACCTGCATTCAAGTTGTTGCGTCAAGACCAAAGGTGGCCATACGAACTTCTTTGAAATTATGACAGGAGTCAGGCAGGGTTGTGTCCTGTCCCCTTTTCTCTTCCTCATTGCCCTTGATTATGTCATGTGATGGGCAGAAGAGACCGATGCCCACATTGGGGTTTGCATCCACTGGTCTGACCAGGATCGTCTTAGAGATTTAGTTTTTGCTGATAATGTTGCCCTATCAGAGAAAATTGGGATAATGCTACAGCACGCCATGACCACATTGAGTCTAGAAGCACACAAAATTGGTCTCAGGATAAACACTGTGAAGTCAAAAATTATGCATGTAAGTAACACCACACAAATGTAGGGAGTAATTGTTGGAGCACAATGATTGGAGGAAGTGGAGAGTTTACCTACTTGGGTAGTGTTATTTCCCAAAACAGCGATGTAGAAGTGGACGTGAAGTGCCACATCAGAAAGGTGCTGACCATTTCCGGCAGATGAACAAGATCTAGTCCTCACCATCCATCTCATTGAAAACCAAATTCCACCTGTTCATCTCCATCATGATTCCGATAGCTGTTTATGCTAGCAAGTCCTAGAAGACATCGGAAAACATCAATAGAAGGCTCGATGTCTTCCAACAGAGATGTTTATGATGAATCTTAAAGATCTGATATTTATATCATATCACCAATGAAGAGGTTCTCTGAAGGTGTGGGATGTGCAAACTTCATAACATTGTTGCCCATAGAAGAGTTTGATTAGCTGGCCACATTTTTCGTATGGAGAACAATAGGATCCCTAAGACAGCCATAAAATGGGTTCCTCCTGGTGCCAAACAACCATGAGGACACCCCGGGAATATTTGGCATAGAACTTTTCTCCGAGATCTGAAGATACTCAATATGAAGTGGGAAGAAGGTGAACTCCTCGCCCATGATAGAAATCAATGGAAGATAACTGCTGCCCAGTATGCTACTTAGCATTAGAGGAACTACTACATTTATCAAGTATCTTAAATGTTTCCATTGTGCAATGAATTGATTGTTATATTACTGTAGTCACTTCATTTTATTTATTTGGTTGCAAAAAAGAAAAATGTTTTGAAAACATTTGATTTTCTGTTTATAATGCAAATCTGTGTCACTATCACATAGTATTGACTCTCCAGGACAGTATTAACTTATTATTGTTATTTAAAATAAATGTTGTATGCACACAATCAAGTAAAATTACATAAAGAAGGGCAGTTACAGTTTTCTCTTCTTTTTTTTTTTTTATTTCTCTTGGTTTAACACTGAAAAACAATTTTAAAATACAGGTAATAATTTAATTTATGTCATCATTTCTACTAAATAACTAGCTGTCAATGGATCTATTGAAACAAAAAAGTATTGATGTAAACAAAAGATTATCTGAGGTAAGACTAACAAATTTGAATGCACTTAAAATTTTGTGGGATTTGTTTATCTCAAGATATCAACTTTTCTTAGAATTCTGTTCATACAGCTATGAAAAGAATCAAATTTTGGCCTTATAAAGTAGCGTGTTCTATGCGTTTTATTTATTTATTTAGAGTTTCAAATGTTACCTCAAAACCAAAGTAAATGTGTTCAAATTTTAAGTGTTTCTTACAATACTTAGCAGGATAGTAACAAACACAACCAGTTCTCATGTTGAATTCTGAGTAGACGTTTTGTTTGCCTACCCAGTATCTAATAAAATAAAGTTACACTGGCCTCAGTGAATTGAAATGTAAGAAGTTTACTTCTTCTCAAGTTTCATGAATAGAAGCAGACTTCTTACAGAAAACTGAAACAGTAGTTTTCAAAATAGGACAGTGAATACATTATCAGAAAAATCTGAAATCACAGTATTTTTTGGATGGTTCATAATAATTTTGGAGTTAATCAAAATTTTTTTTATTAAATCATTACTGATAATTTGAAAATATAAGTTATTTATGTAACAAAATTTAATTTTGCATTATATGATTTAGTACTTACTTCATCTTTTAATATTCTTTGTATGATATGAACTTCTTTTGCATCCAAATTTTTATCTGAATGCTGAATTCTGAAATATTTAAGGAAAAACTTATATAATTTTATCAATTTTATACTATATTTCACAACTGTGTAAATAAAATAGAAAAGTATTTTTACATAATAGATTACGAACAAGCATTCCACTTTTATCGGTCTACATCTAAGGGTGACCCATTAACCACAATGAAAATGTTAACATTTCTCCAACCTTACCCAATGTTTAAGGTGTATCTCTTACTTCATTAAATCAACCTCAGTGGCTTGTTCAGCTTTGTAAATATCCATTATACAATATAATATCAAAATAAATTCATTTGATAACTTTTTGCCATATTTGAAAAATGTGTTGGCAATGTTTTAATCCAAATGTGACTTCCAAATTATCATTTAAATTTGTATGTATACCAACATAAAGAGGTTTTGTGATCTCCAATCTTATTACAGATAATCTTATACTTACTGTTGTTCTGTCCATGTATTCTATCAGTAAAAAGAGCACAATTATTATTATGCTCATTTTTTTAGTAAAGTTTATTTTTATTGTTACTCAAATGATCATTATTACTTTTATGTCATGTTTTTTCAATCATTTGTCTGTTATATTTATTTGGTATTTTTTATTAAATTCTTTTGAAATCATGTTTCCAAGATTTAACAATATCAATATACATTCATAACAGTATATTTATAATAATTAATATGGCATATCTGTTTGTTTCTAGGTTTCAAAATGCATTAATGTTAAATGATATCAATGCATTTTGTTTTAAGACAATTCAAGTAATTTTGATTTATCTTTTGTGATACCTATACAGCATAACTCTGATTTATGAGTACTTGATATATGAGAATTCAACACTAAAGAGTTGCTTTATCCCTCTTCCAATTTATGAAACAAAAAATTCAATACAACAAACACTGAATGACATTTACAAGAATGAAATATTCTAATCATGAATGTAATGATTGTGAAATTTCCATATGCTCTGATCAGATGGCTCCTAGATTCCACTTTCATTCATTCTTTGTTTCATTCATGTCTTTGTTTTCTAGGGGCAGTGCTATTCATTCCTACGCAGCTGTGTAGTTTAACAAATTTTACCACTATATTATAAACCTTTCTACTGATAACTAAAACATTCATTAATCCAAAAACAATTTTATTTTATATTATCTTAATTAACTTTCATTTCCTTACCAGTAATAAAAAAGTATATCATTTGAAATGTTTAAGCTGGGACCTCAGTTCACATATGACAAAACTTAAGTCTTACTTTATCCAGCAGATAATTTCATTCTTGAACTAAAGTTGTAGTAATAAAAAAATATATATCTTGCACACTTGCTTCTCTTATGTTGTATTCACTTTTCTCATTTCATTTTACAGTAGAAGTTTGTTAATTCAGCACCTATGGAACCAGAGTAGTGCCAAATTATTGAAATTGGCAGAATGTTTTTGTATTTTCACAAAATTTAATAATTTGCATGCAATTTGAATGTTAAAGATATTGCTGCAACATTTTACACTAGTGCACACAGCAGTATACTTCTGATTTGTTTAGATATGCACTTTAATCATTCTGGAGATGATACAGTGCATGATTATGTTACTTTAAGATTGGTATTCTGGTGTTTATGAAACCGTGCCAGTAATTGTTTGGTAATTCAAACATAAATCAGTTATTGTATTCATTCAGACACTTGGCAAATCTCATCATTAAATTTTATTTAGTTGATACGTGTTCATCGTATTTGTACACATTTCGGGTATTTTCTGCCCCTCTTCAGCCAACTTTAGCTTACAGATCACTGAAAGTTAAAACCATAAAATTTCTGTAATTTAATGGATAACAAGTTGAATGTGCAAAGGAATTTTACAGTTTTAACTTTCAGTGATCTGTAAGCTAAAGTTGGCTGAAGAGGGGCAAAAAATACCTGAAACATGTACATACACAATGAACACGTATCAACTAAATAAAATTTAATGATGAGATTTGCCAAGTGTCTGAATGAATACAATAACTGATTTGTGTTCGAATTACTAAACTTTAAGATTGATTTAAAAAATGAGCAAAACATTAACACTTTTATGATGACATGACGATATATAATCAGTTCAGTTTCACCCAAAACATACAAAATAACAATATTTCGTCATTTTGAAAAATGTTTAATTTCAATCAAAAATTTTCTGCGTCATTTTACTCGCATTTGGTGATATTTTAATGCTAATCATTGCCTGTAAGTTATGTATATATATGTAGGTATTTTATTAATTTATTATTTATCTAATTATTCATCTTAATTTTACTGTATTTATTTATTTACTTTTTAAACAAAAGAAACACTTGCACCAGTTGATTTTTTTGTTTCACTCTTAGTCATTTTATTGTTTTACAATTTCAGTATTTACCACTCATTGCCTGTAAGTTATATATACTGTATATATTTAGTTAGTTATTTATTTTTGTTCTAGTTTTATTTTATTTATTTTATTTTCTCAAACAGTTCACTAATCGATTTTCTTTGTGTAATGTGTTTTATTGTTTCGGTATTTTCCCCACTTACTGCCTAAAATGAAATGCCCTATTAACATAAGAATGTTTATTAAAGAGACACAGAAAACTAGTATATATAAACTGTTTCATATAAAGTGATATTGTTCATGAAAAAATAGATAAATATGCATAAATCCAAATCATGTACAAAACAACATTCTCTTTCATGCTAGCTTGGTGCCAAAACCAAACAACAAAATCAGAGAATTTTATTTTTTGTCAAAGTAAAGTAATTTATGACATCAAAAATTTAGGTCATAATTTAACATTCTTTTTTTGTAAGTAATTTTTATTCCAAATGATTATACACTATTGTGCCAAAAACTACGTAAAGTAATAAATATATGCAATTTTTTTGTATCTCTATGATAAATATTCGATTTTTGGTAAATTTTTAAAATAAAATATATAGAGTTACCATGACTGACTGCAGTTTGGCTTGTTGTTTTAAAGAGTAAAGTACAACCAACCACATCATAGTAAAAGGGTTAATGAATGCATTATTGAACAAAATCAATAATTCATGTGCGTATAATATTTATTTTCCAGAATGTATTGTACATATTACTCCGAGTATGAGTTTGTTTTTAGGTACTGTTGTCACATTGACTAATGGGGGAAAAAATACATTAGTCACATACATTACTGAACACAAAACCTATGTGCTAGCTCTAACAAAGTAATGTTCATTCAATATCTAAAATTTTAGACATTTTAGATATTCACGTGGCAGATTAACTTTTACTGTAGTTTCTTTTATATCAGTAAATAACCTAATTAACACTTTCATTTACAGGAGAAGTTCATTAATATAGCACCTGATAATCTGGAATGTCTGGTAATTTAGCTCTTTGAAAAGTAGCTAATAATAAATTCTGAATTGTCAGATATTAATCCAGTGTGTTAATGTTTTGTGAATCAAAATTTGTTTATACACATGGTAAACTAAATATCTCAGATGAAAATCAAGGCAAAGTTTGGAGTGTAATCTTGTATGTTGCATCATATCAAGAGATCAAGAAAAATTATTTATTTTGTTATAGCATCTTGTTTGTGTCAGGTCAGATACTTTCATGTGTGCTTTCTTCTGCCTAAAACATGTTTACACTACAACTGGCAAACAAGTTGGTGCAAATATCTATTAAAATTATTCTTGAAAACATCAGTTGATATTTGCAAGTTTTGACTAAAATTCAAACCTCACTATGCCTGTGCAGCAGCATATATAAAAGGAGCTTACCTCCACAACAATGTTAGTCATTTAAGATCACTTCAGTTATTCATGGGTCATTTTCAAGTTACTCTAGAAATTTATAAGTCATCCACCATTCATTCAGCAAATACAGTGTTATCATAAAGTCCCTCCATAGCCACACCCATGTGGCTCCACTGATTGGTGATGTCATAACTTACTTTAACAAATTTCTACTGTAACTATTTAGAATCACTGGTTGCTAGGTAAACAAGCATTTTTGGAAATTTAGATAGAGTGACTGAGTTATGCCAAAATATGTACATATTTGATTATACACACAACACTTAACACCTCAATACTACTTCCAGCAGTCAAAAGATTTTAATATTCTAACGTTTTCGGCCGTCTTTTAGAGGCCCTCTTCAGGATGAAACATTAAAAAACAGTTCTATCTTTTGAAGGATTTTAATAATCGAATACAGCTGTGTTCCGAACTTTTAAATATTTAAACGATGCGTAAGATATAAAAATCGTTACGCTTACAAGACAAAAAATTATTTTAAAATAACGCTATACATAAATTATTATTGTAGAGTTGTGAAAATTAGCGCTATGTAAACACTGCTATACATTAAATATTATTAAATAGTTGTGAAAATTAGCGTGATGTAAACGCTCTGATTTCTTATACATAGCAGAAAGATTAAAAATAATTAAACTTCCGATTATTGTTGTGCCTTGTGGCAATGTAAATAATATTTCCACGATTGTGGAATCGGAATATAATCGGAGTTAATGCAGCTTCCCTTTATGGTTTCTCTATAAATCTCAATAGCCTCCAACGAGCGTAAGTCGTGTCGGTCAAAGGCCCTATGTAAAAGAGTAGCCTCATCCCAACATGGGGAAACCCCGGGCTCGGTAGCATACCGTGCTAGAGCCGTATTATACTTCTGCTTCGACACATCATATTTGTGGTCCCGTATCCTAGCCTCCAGGGATCTGTATGTGGATCCAATGTATGTTATCCGACGNATCGGAAGTTTAATTATTTTTAATCTTTCTGCTATGTATAAGAAATCAGAGCGTTTACATCACGCTAATTTTCACAACTATTTAATAATATTTAATGTATAGCAGTGTTTACATAGCGCTAATTTTCACAACTCTACAATAATAATTTATGTATAGCGTTATTTTAAAATAATTTTTTGTCTTGTAAGCGTAACGATTTTTATATCTTACGCATCGTTTAAATATTTAAAAGTTCGGAACACA